ATTTTGGAAATGATCATGCACACAATGGACCCCGGACTAGGTGCGTTTCTCTAAGTCTTCCTACCAATAGTACCATGTTGCGAAAACAAGGTCAAACATTGAAATGAGACTGCGACCACACAAAAGGCCACACCATCTTGGTCTTCCTACCTATCACTAATGATGTTAATAATTGTCGTTGTTGTTGTAATATCGGTAGTAGTGTTGGTAGTACTTGCAGCAGAAATAGTGATTGTATTGTTTAATAATTATAATAATATCAGTAGTAGCAGCAGTAGTATAGTAAACTAGCGCAATATAAGGCCACACTTATTCGTCATTCTTCTTCCTCTATTATTCTGCTCGAACATCGCCGTGCTTAAATACCGCATCACATCTGACATTGTGTGGCGGGTTCAGTTAACCGAGCCACGCTCTCCCCAGACCCGCACACGAGGCTCAGGCCAGCCTAACTTGGGGTATCGAAAGGAAATCATGCCACGTGTCCTGCTTGTCCGGCCATTCGTAAGCATTCAAGTTTGTATGTCGCTCTGCAACATACACACACACACACACACACACACACGCAAACACGCACATGCACACCGACGAGGTCAGTAGTTGCCGGCCCAGCAGACTTCTAACTGTATAATTAAGTATGAGACACGCACATGCAGACAGTCTCTTTCCCGCCCGTCTCGCCGCCAGACAAGGACCGTTTCCGGATCTCGAACATTCCCAATCGATCCACGTCCTCCTCAGACCCCCAGATCTGTAGAAAGAGGCGATGCGCTCGGTCCTCTGCCGTGACCACACTGCCCTGGGCGACAACTTCCCCTCCACCCACCACCTGCCAGTTGCCATCTCCCAACTGCCGCCTGACACCTTTGTTCTGTTGCAACGGCTCTGCCTCCAGTCTCCCGTCTCCTCGTGTATCCTCTGCCTCTTGCCGCGTATCTCGTCACCCTACCGTCTTGGGCATCGTTTGTTTGGCCGTTTCCCATTTGACCTGCCCTACGGATCACTGAGTCAGCCTACTCGGGACCCACGCCAACATGCCCTAGTCCTCTGCCGTGAAGACGAGACTAGCGCCACTCGACACGGGGTCACAACAAAATGGCGACCTTACGACTCAGCGCTCTTCTCCTACAGAGATGGCCACTTTGTTGGCAAGTTGGCGGACAAGCCGGATCATTGCACTTTCATTCGGCGTGAACCTATCGCGAAAGTGCCAAACCTTCTTTGATAGGCACGTACTCACACCGGATATAAGTAGCTTAGTCGATTTTAATAGTAGTTTTTTGAGTAGGCTTTCGAGACTGTCATTGGATCCTGAATGAGAGCTCTGTTGATAGTACTTTTATTTCATGTAAAGCTGCATGATGAAGACATTCTTAGACTAAGTTCGCCGGAAGACGACGGCTAATTTAGTACCTCTAATCGCTCTCCCAATTCCGGATAGTCTTAGCATCGGCCAAAAGAGGCTGGGATCAAATTTTTTATTCCATTTGAGCTGACATATTTGTAGAAATCCTCTGCAACTAAATTACCAACAGATATTCTCGTATATACGCAAAAGTGAATAACCGGTACGGTTTTATTATACTTTATACTCGTGTTGAAAGAGCAGGAGGCCGACTAAATTTGCTCTATCCAGAACAAATACCCTTCCTGTTGTAAGGACTTTCATTTTGTAGGAAAGTGCGGCCAACGGCTGATTCCCGTTGTTCTGCAGCTTTTCGGCTTGAGCACCACGCTCACAGAGACACAGTCTGCAAGACATTCTCCTTCGTTTCGGGTGGAAAGTGGCTTAGATTTTGTCCGCCATACCACTTAACCGATGTTTTAAGAGCTGAAATTTACTCTGAACCTCACTTATCCGACTCAATGCGTATGTGTTATATAGAGTCATGTACACAAATTAAAAAATGTAGATATAAGTTAAAATCGGATAAGAGCTTAGTCACCCTAGGTCGCCTGAGGTGATTGAAGGACTGAAAGTTCTATTTTCACATGATGAAGTAAGTTGGCCTCCTGAAAGCCTATCTCAGCCAAGGAGACTCAATAGAATGATGAAATTAACTTATCATATCGCGGGAAAAACTCATTTAGGATGACTTATTCAACTTATTCAAGAATTACTGATAACTTTGAAAACTACCTATATCAAAAGATATTGAATAATTTGGTTGGCTCTTCTTCATATTAATCACAGTACTTATAACTGAGAATGCGTGTTTGTGTGTCATAGGGCATGTGTGTGTGTGCGTGTGTGTTAGCATGTGTTCGTGACATCAGGGTGTACATACCCGAGAGATAATTGTGATTGTGTGTCAAGATTGAAAAACATATGTTTGCCACATTGACAAAGGCGTTAAATATTTTTTATTGATAAACATGTTTTTTAGACAACATGTAGCTCCTATTCGTTAAAGTTTCCACAA